GGACCGTACGTGATAACCACGCATACTTTGGGGCTGGATTGAAATCTTTGAGTTCTATGTGAGCTGGGGACACAACCGCGAAATTTCAGTTTTCTAGCTTTTCTGGTTCCCGAGTTAGCAGTTTTCCTGCCAAAGCTTTCAAGCGCTCGTAGTTGGAACCTAGACATGCGTGAGGGTTGGTACCGTGGTCCTGGGACGGCACTTGGCCGGGAAGACCAATGGAGAAATTTTAGTGTCGGAGTTTGCTTAGTTGCCAAGTTGAAATACCCGAACAGGCGCATACACATACTTCGGGGTTGTTACAATATGCGTTTTTGCATTTGCATATATGCAAAAACACATAAAAATGGCTGATGCTTATTGACAATGCCAGCAACAAACATGCAGGCGTATATATTTTACGCTGCCACACAGACGCATGCGTATTCAGACGCATATTTATTATACATTACACATCTATTTGCGACTATCTGGCTAAGCTTCTGGCCCTTGCTTAAGTTTTCGGCATTCGCCTCATTTGTTCAGTTGAAACGAGATGGAGAAAAGGCAAATTTAATTTTCAGGTTGACATCGGATCTATAAGGTACAGATAATTTTAGCTTCCTTTCGTCTCTTGCTGCAGCATTGGGCCAATGTCGTCGCAGTAGAAAAAAGAAAACCCTCTCTATTACGCTTTATTAGCGGGACTTTCTCAGTTCTTGCTAATAATTTTTGTGTGCCTTTAAAAGCAGCGCCAGAGCGCGTGGAGAAATCGAAATACTCGGTACATTATCAACCGTCGACATCCAAAATTACGTGAAAGCATTCAAAATGAACCTTATTTCGTCAGTTTTTTCTTTCAGCAACGTCTCGAGCATCAGTGTCTTCTGCTTCAGTGCCAGTGTGGTTCCTCGGCGATCATCCGCAGCGTATCCTTTTGACTAAAAATAACAGTTTACTCAATACAAATGCGGCCACTTTTTTTTGAACACAAGCAGTGCATCGACGAATCGTCGTTAAAGATTCCGCAGATGTCCCACAACTAGTTTTGCTGTTTACTGTATTTTTCGTGTATCGCTGTGAAGAGGCAGCTGGTGATTCGAAAGCGATAGAAGCTATTTTGGACTGTTTCGATTTTTTCAATTTAACGAGATAGTTTCGAGGAAGGGAAGTCCAGAATGGCTCGAAACCGTTTTTGGCGCGTGCTGTAGCCGTGTTTTATAAATTTACTGTAGCCTAACTTCTTACTAATTATTACTATTTTGATTACGTTGGATTAGGTTTGTATTACTGACAAATAATGCAGGATAACATACTTGCATGAAAAGAAGATTCTGCAGC